AATTTGAGATACATCAAATTGGACCCATTACAATAACTTCCCACTGGACAATTAATAATTGAAATTTATTTCAGCGAATGTAATCAGACAGATCTTTGATTTAAATGAGGACAAAAAGATGACAAAAAGAGGTCTATGAATGTTTCTATTGACCGTGAGATATGCTGACTCAATGTCTGCAAAAAAGATCGGCGTAGAGCAGACCTAAAGTCAAACAGTTTCATTGAGTGAACAAGGGATACTTCAATATTTGTACGTCTAATGTACTAATTGGAAGAACGGCCTAAGTACCTGAATAAAGGATTTCGCAAGTGCGTGGTGTTTCAAATGAGTCTGTGTAAATATTTTTCTATTTATTTAACCCCTTTTAATTTAATTTTTCAATTAAAAATCCTATTACCTTATTCTATTGATACAATAAAATATCAACTGTGAGAACAAAATTCAAAAAATAAATTGAATATTATTTATATCAATCATTATTTGACATCAGAAAATTGTCATGGAGATTTTGCAGTGACACTCGCACAAAAAGTAATAAACGAGCTTTGATATTTTTTAGAAGGTAATACTATAACTTAAAAGTAAAATATAATGTGAAGCAAAGGGTGGGCGATGTCGACACGTGCAACCCTCGGACTGCTTTTACCCTATGTGTGGTGAGGGGTTGCTTTCGCAAACTGGGCGGCATTTGTTTAATTGGGAACCACCATGGCCACCGTACCACCCTCCACTGCTGCCTCCACGCTTGCAAATATGCCTCGTGCGCCTCAAAATACGCGATAGGCATATATGCGAATACATACCTCTTCCACATGTGTGAGAGCATAGGGTCTGACCCTGTGGGTAAATCCCCTAAAAATATGTATATAAGGTATTTACTTTGTTGTAATTTTAGGAAAAAAAACTGCGTTTTTTTAAGCAGCCTACAAATTTTGTTTCAAATGTTCCCTACAATTATTGTTGTAATTTAATATTTTATCTTTGTATTGAAAACTTTTCAGTACTAAGAAGTTTTTGCAATGGTTCTATTTTTTTTTTTTTTTAAAGTATAAATTTATTTATTTATTTTTAAGGTTAAATAACATTTCATAAACTTTTTAGGTAGAATACATTTAAGATTTATAATTTAAAATACAATATGATTTCAAGGGAGTAATTATTTTTGATACTTTATTAAATAAATTATTGACTTTATTTATTATTAAGACTTCAACTTCAAGGCTTTTGAATATTTATCGAGTTTCGTTTTTATTTTTGATTTGTTGATCAACCTAGACTTTTAAATTTAGCATGACATTCAAAATGCTGGTTTTTAAAATACACCACAGGGTTCCAAATGAGTCTTAAACGTACTTATATGTCTCCACAGTCAATTCACCCCTCTATGTAATTTATTATAAATGCTTCAGTAAGATTTGAAACTTCTAAACGAATTTAAACATCGAAGCCGAGTATTTTTTATTTGAAAAATCAAGCCCCTGGGCATAAAATTAAAGGTAAAGAGTACAACTAGCAATTGACCGAGGAGGAAATCGATGTGAAGAATTTTACTGTCGATGGCTCTCAAGTGAATGCTTGTCGATGAACTGCGCGATCTGAAAGTAGTCCAGGGGTTGGAATTTTCATTCGACCCACAAGTGGTTCGTTAGAGAGCGTACAATCCCCCTTGGTGTTTAGAGCGTCTCTGTATGCGCTACGAGTACTAGAGGGTGGCTTTGGCAAGTAAAAGAGAGAAGAAAGAACTGCACGTAGTGGCTTTAGTAAAACTGGGAAATCGATTGGAAAAATGATTGGGTGGTTCTAGAGAGTATTTCGAGAGTCAACGGTTACACATAGAATTCGGAAATTTCATGTATTGGTAAACATTTTTGGTCGTTTGTTCTACCCCTTAAAAAGCAACGGAGTTTTTCTACCTTCTATTTCTATTTTTCCCACCCTTCGAAAAAAAAAGTAACGTGTGCACACCCATTTGGCTTAAATTCGTAAACGCATTTTATCTGCGCAACTACGACCCCTTCAAATGATCCAGTTGGTCGAGCAGATGGGCATATTGTCAGCCAATCAACTTGTACGTTCATTTCACATACTTTGTAAGCCTTGTAATTATTATTGCAGTAATATTGGACGGGCTTTTCATGGCTTTTTTATGACAGCCTATAATTTTATGCAAACGAGAAATGAGAGACTTCCTCTCAACATTTGCAATACAGAAAGAGAGACATGGTACCCTCTGGAGCAATTTTCCTTTAGAGGATCGTGAATAATTATTTCTACGTTAATAGTCAACCTGAAAGACTTAAATAGACAAAAGCTCTTGGTAGGATTTAATGCAGACAGTTGTGAGTGTCTACTGTTATATAGTGATGTATTTCCTGTCTTCCACTATGCAAAGATTATCCCTATATATTTACAAAAGTCCCTGTTATATATCGGCAAAACGCGATAACGTTTCGGATTTCACTCGAAAGGGTTGTGTATAAGAGGGGCTCGTAAATGTTCATGGATTTATCCTGATTCCTCGCTGGTCAGTTGTCGCTTTAAAATGTATATGTCTCTTCCTTGTTTTCATCTTCTGTTTCGCTTCTGCCACGTGGAGAATATATCCCCTCTCTGCTACCATCATCACCCTTTAGCTAAAGGGGTGAATAGCAGGTTCTCGAGCCTGTTCCTATTCGACCATTAAAATGGTCTTGACAACGCAATAGTTTTCTGTTTGATGGCGTCAAAAACTGCCCTAATAACATCATAAAAGAAGTTGCACTTTACGAAAAAAAATGATACAGGTTTAAAAAAGAAAACATTAAAGGATATTTAATTATTTATTTTTTTCATGAGAGAGTGCTAACATGTTAAACATTCAGCAAAATATTGGAAGAAATATCCCAACCATCTATGGAGTTTTATTCTTTTCTAAAGAAAACATTAAATTTAAAATTATATTATAAATTTAAATTTAAAATGAGGAGAAAATTATTTAGTATGCATATTTCTTTGTTATTTTACAACCGACCTCTTTATAAATAATAATATCTCTTCAACATAAAAATAAAATATGCCATAAAGTAAATATAATTAATTTTCATAATTTGTGACATTTATTATTTCGTACTCAATTCTAATTTCAATGAATCGTAAATGAGATTGAAAGGGCATTGAATCATCACGAATAAATATCAGGAGCAAACAGAGACGAGAAAATAATTAGATGTCTCCAAACATTCTCTTTCATCATGAAAACCACGGACAGATATGACAGACAGGTCTAGCGAATCTTGTGAGAATAGGATAGACAATGAGAAAAATAAGAGGAAAAGTGAAAGCAAGCATGATTGAACCAACAATGGCTGAAACCATCTGTTTAACGATGGTTAAATAATGGCTCTTCATCTACTACGACTTGCAAGCTAATTATGACAATATTATCACGGCTTGAGAGACAAAGATGAAACAATGTAGACTGTGATAATTCAAGTACAATAGTGAAAGACAAGCAAAAAGACATCAAATATCTATTTTCCATTAAATCTCCAGATAACTTTGAAGAAACTTTTAACCTGAGCACAAAGAAAATTTTTTCAGAGTACATGATCAATTTCACTGAATTAATCACATTCAAGAGAACGTTTTATTTTCCATGACTCATGACTTAATAAATTTGCGGCGTCATTTGCAATCGAAAAATTGAAAGGGGAGTGTTAGTGATCAGGCTTCTAATTCAGTTCTGGTGAGAACTTCCTGTCGAAGTAATTACGTAAAAGTGATGACACTCGAATGCAAACGACGAGAGTTGATGGTGGAAACTTACACAACAACGTAAACAAATAAAATGATGCGGATGTAATCAAGGGAAAGAGACCTGAGATCTAACTTTAGATATCGACAAGTCGTTGATTGATTCAGAGATCCCAAGATTGACTGATACTCAAAGGCAGATGTGCCTACTCTCAAGCCCTTTCACTCTCATTTACTCAGCCTGTTAAAGCCTGTTTAATTAATTTCCTTAATGCTTACGTATCTTGAATGCGTCTTAGGTGGAATTTATTGATTGTATATGTACGGATTAATTTAAATACCTTCTACTTAATGTGTGTTGTGTTAATCAAGCTAATCCACCAAGCTAGCTTGGAAGTTTGTTGGAAAATAAAAAATAAATAAACCTCAGTTGACAATAGGGAATTTACCTTGGGTGTATAAGGAAAGTTCCACCAATTAAAAAAGTATAATTCTCTACAATAAGCAGGGAAAAGAAAAAAAATGAGAAGATTCCCTGTGGAGACTATGCGATACTCAGAGTTTCATTTTACTTTAATTGAAACGGAATTGTAGGCCAAGGGTTACTTCACCAGGGGTTGCCAGTTTCATAACTACACTTTAGCATCTTTCTAAGTCCATACCTATGATCTTTGTGTGAACCATGAAGGTATGAAGGGCTTGAAATTGAGATCCACTTGGTTGATAACTGCTGAGAGTTACTACAGCACAGGAATACATTAGCGGACATTGTCTCCCCATACTCTTTCTTTATTCTCACTGCTCCAAGCATGATCAATCTTCGGCAAAGGAGATGAGATGAGATACGACCGTTGGGTACGGTAGTCAGTATCAAAGTTAAAGGTACTCTTCTGTTATTATTACGAAAATAAATTAGTAGCTCCCTAGGGAAGACATTTTTAATTATTAGTATTGATATAAATTATACTTTCTACCTTTTTTTTTGTATAAATTAAAAATCAGTGAATAATTAACTATCCAGGCAGTGAAGGATACTTTATTTGATTCTCATCAATCATAGAATATTGGCTCATTGTTATGGAGAAAAAGTTTTGCAACTTTTTTGATTGAATAAAATGGCTGATGATTTATTTTTGAGGCGAGAAAAATTTGATTGAATTTCAAAGTTTTATTAAGAATAATAGTAATCGAAGCATATTTAATTCTAATATTTTTTTTTATTACATTGATAAGTTACAATTTATTTTCATTTAATGATAATATTTTTATTTGAATATTGTAGGAAACCAATCGTCAATATTTATTAGCCCAACATTATTATTATCCTTTTCATCACTATCATCAGGAGTATAACCTTCTCCAAATAATTCTTCATAAAATCTTTTTATCTGAGCTTCACGTTCATCGTCTTGTTCACTTTGATCTGGTTGATGTTCTGTTATATGTTTTCTATGATATGCATTATGACTATCAGATAAATGTTCCAGAAGTCCTGGATCAAATTCCAGTTCACTTCGAACAGCATCAACATTTTCAAAATCTTCTAAATCATAAGCTTCACCTTCTGTAAGTTGACTTTCAATTTCTGTATCATTATCATGATGCTCAGTTGCACTTGGTTCAAAAACTTCAATCAGCACTCCACTCTGTCTATAATGTCTTGATGCAGACAAAGTGTTCTTACTTTTTGGAGGTAGCTGATGAAAACATCTTTCAGGTCTGATGCATGCACCTGTAGCATTTCTTACATATCCATCATTACATTCACAAGCGATGACTTTTTTCTGCAGTTATGAAAGTTGATTTATTACAATTAATTTCAGAATAAATGACCTTAATGCAATAATAATTGACTTTTGATACTCACTTCTTCACATACATCAGGACGAAATATGTCTTCACAAGTAGGTTCACAAGCCTTTCCTTCGTGATTTAAAAATTCATTTTCTGGACATTCCAGAGTTCTAAATCTTCCACCATTATGAATAGCATACTCGTCCAAAGATGCAAAAGATGGTAATGCTTGGACCCCTACAATCAATGAACAACTGGTATGAATAATTTAAATCAAAAGATTTGATTAACCAATGAATAATAAATTAACATGATAAATTTGTACTTACATAGAGAGTCGATTAAAGCTAGAGCAAGGACACAACAAACTTTACTCTTCAACATTTTTTTTCTTACTAGAACAATTACCACACTCCTTCTTTATATATTTTATTCTTCTTCGTCATATCAGAGTTTTGTTGGTTTAGTTCTATTTGTTATAAATAGAAGATTGCAACATCCAATATATTATTTGATATCATTATAGCTATCAATGACGTTAGAAATTTTGTAACAATTGGATTTAGCTTTAGGGCTATCATAACAGAGCTAAAGTTTAAGAATAAATAAGCTAGATGGTGTTACTGGATTATTGGATTACAAGAGCTTAGAATAATCGTAGAAAAATAAAATTCTTCCTACAATGTTGAAAAATATCTGTGATGATGTTACGTTAGCTATTATTAACAATAATTAGTCAATATTGTATTAAAAATTGTGTAAATGTGTTGAAACATTTCTAGAGACAAATATTTTGCTTCAGGTATTGTTGTATTTTAATGAATTTTATAAGTCAAATCCAGATAATGTGCTAAATTGTTCAAAATATGACAAAAGGTAGACTGAAAAATCATTCTCGAGTATTTAATCTTGAGTTAAACCACCATTAATACAACATTACCCTCTTCAACTGTGAATTATTATTCAGCTCAAAAGATCATTTGCTTGTGCCTTTGTAATTAGACTTGAGTTGATACGAATTGTTTTCAATAGAGTTCAGGGTTTAGGTAATATTCGTCAGGTTTGACATATGCACCTGTTGGATTCTCATGTACTCATGTTTCATTTTCATGCAATGATGAGTTTTATCACAAAACTACATGAAGCACCATCATTAATCATTGATTATTTAATTAGAAAAATTGAAAATTCAATTAAACTTATTTAATAGTAATTTTGAACTATAAAATTGGAGTAAACACATAAATGCAAAGTCAAAATGCTGAAGTGAATAAGTTACTATTTACTTTAAATTACTAACGGCACTGAGAGAAATGAAATTAACATTACAAAGTAAATCCAACTAGTTAGATATTTTTTAGTGTGTCGAAAATAAAGATGGTTGTAGTTTACTTCCATGCTGATGACAAGCAGACAGATCATATACTTCAACATTTTGAATTCGAATAAAACTATTAAAAAATATCGTCTTTTTATCTTGCTTGCATGCACTTATAGGCTAATTTATCAAATCTGATTCAAATTTCATGAATTTTGTAATACTTCTGTTCTGAACAATGGATTGCATATCATTTATTGATCAAACTAGAATTATAATAGATAACATGACCAGTTTTGTAATTTTATTTACCTACAACAGGAATGTCATTGACGTTGTAAATATTAAAAAGACTAGTTTAGGAATTGACAATCTCATTAACTCCATTAATTTATAATACATTATACTTCAATATTTTTAAATTTTATGCAATGTTTATTTATAGTAAATTACAGTTTATTGTCTATAGACTTAAAACATATTTAAAAAATAGGATATAATAATTGTCACTCAATAAATAAATATGATTATATATTTATTGAATAAAAATAGATGAAATGAGTCATAAAACTTGGATTGAAATTATTTTTATTGCAACAAAAAGAAACAATAAGTGGTTTATAAAATATAGGACTTCTTGTCGGTTATATTGTAACTTTTATCATCAACTTAATATTGACCTCTTCCATATTAAGCAACATCATGAATAATTAATTATTGAAGAAACAAAATTGAAGATCTTATCGAGCCAATTTCATAGTAATTTTCATTCAGAGAATTGAAGTAGATCCAGAAATGTTATGTTAAGATGGTCTTTATTTCACCATTACTTCAAATGTGAGTTTACTTTAGCTTCAAATGCTTCGACATCGAAAGGTGCATTAAAATCACCATACGCTGCTATCAATGCTGCATCGTATTCTTCCTCAGTGTCGTAATAGTCCCTTAGGGTTTTCTCTTTCGGTCTTGCATCGACCCCTGCAATTATATATTATTAATTTTAATAATAATCCAACAAAGAATTTTATGAAATGTCTAAAAATGATTGCAATTCAAGTTGACATTTGTCAGTTTAAAACAGTTTAATTTCAATGGATTTCAGATAGATGGATTCATTATAAAAAATTATGAAACAAAGTAGATTAGTTTTCATTTACTTTAAGTCACTAAGTATTAGGAATAAATAGAATTATAGTTAACTTACCAAGTGAGAAGACGAGAGCGCTGACAAGGAGCAGACAGATCATGTACTTGAACATTTTGAATGCGAATGAAACTACTGAAAAAAGTTGGCTTTTTATATTACTTGCATCTACTTATCAGTTAATTTATCAAATTAAATCATTATGAATAGTGTAACACTTGTGTTCTGAACAATGGATTACAGATAATTTAATATTCAAACTACAATGACAATAGATAACATAATAGATTTTGTAACTCAATTTGAAGATAATATATATGTTATGAAGTCAATATGTTATTGACTTAGTCCAAATATTTAAAATATAAGTTTAGGTATTGAAAAATTTGTTAGCTTCATCAAATAATCATCTACTATATTTTATTCTCTTAAAAATTTATTCAATTTTGTATCCACGGTTAATTACAGTTCATTGTTTCTATGTCCTAATATATTTATTAGATAGTAATATGAGTAATGAGCTCATTAAACTTGGATTGCAATCATTTATGTTAAAACAAGAAGGAACAAGTTGTTTATTAAATAGAATAACTTTATAGTTGATCAGTGATAGACAAAATCATATTGTGTATTTTGTTATATTGTTAACTTTTATTATCAACTTAATATTGACGTCTTCCATATTAAGCACCATCATCATCTTCTTCTTCTTCATCATCAGCTTCTTTATCTTCTTCTTCTTCATCCTCGTTCTCACCAAGTTCTTGCTCATCTTCCTCTTTACTCTCTACAGTTTCTTCTCCATCTTCTTCTCCTTCAGATTCATTTACATCTTTGTCCCCTTTTAATAGCTCCTTTTCTGCCTCGTTGTTTAATTCTTCACTATTATCATTTTTTTCTTCTACATCCATTCTGTCTTTCTGGTCTTTTCCATTGCTGCCGTCTATACCATTGTTGTTTTCAGACACTAAAATCAAAAAGTTATTTAATGCACTTATTTTTAATCACAAGACGACGTTAAAATTTTTTTAATCAAATAAAATCTAAATAAACTTAAAAATCTACCTGTAGAATCACTGTCAAACGAAGCTTCCTTACGGCCGAACATGATGGATTTTAATGAAAATAAACTGAACATTTTTCTTCTTATGATGGTTTTAATGACTTATGAGTATTATTATCGATATGAAGCTTATAAAATTTTTTATTTCGTCAAATTGAGATATTTATGTGTGTCAAAGCTATTAAGAAAAATAGAAAAATAATAATTTTACTAGAGATAATTTCTATTTTGATAATACACCAGTTTTATAAACATATTCATCATTTTTCAGAGGCGTAGATTGTTTTTTATAACATCTTATAAAATATTATTTTCGAATTTTCTAAAAATTAATTCAAAATATAGTAGTTCAATACATAAATTTAGACAGTAGATTATATGATTATTTAACAACAAAACAAAAATAAAGCAAAATAATGAAATTAATTAAAAGCATATTTATAAAATAAGTATGTCAAGACATATAATAATAACAATAATATTTGTTGATGATAAACATTTTGAAGAAAAATTATCATCACGCTTAAGTTGATCATTGAAAAATACACTCACTTGAAAAGTGATGAAAATTATAGATAAAAGATATTTAAATAAAGTTTAAATTCCATAAAACACAATTGAATATAAATAAAAGATAACATTCCAGTTTTCGTAACATTATTATCGATCATTGACTTCATTTTAAATATTTTTTAGTAATCACTCAATTTCGTCAACTTTATCTAACAATAACATGGTATTTGTTCTTCTGAAACAAACATTATGGTTGTACAATTCTGAAATCGTATATTATATTTTTAGAATTTTACTACAAGTATTTACAGAAAAATCGTTAATTTTAAAAAATATATACTTAATCTAGAAAAATCACTTCGGAATTACTTGAATGTAAATCTAATTTTCATCAAAAACTACTAATTAATGGTTTCAAACTTTCTCTTTTCTTATTATTATTTATCATGTCATCTTGATTTGTAATTACTGTCAATTAAATGACCCTTTCTTAATGATAGAGTTACCTTATCATGAAAATTTTATTAAAGAAAGCAGATCATGAAGAAAAAAAGATTATATTTCAGATTATTAACGATTAACATGTTTCTACTTTCGAAAATAATGATAAAAAAGCAGATAAAATTTTAAATTGATAAAATGATTTTGTATAATCTTTACTCGTTTTTTTTTTTATTTTTTACAAATTATATCAAAACTTTTTGCATTTTTTTTTTAACAATAAAACTTTCCCCTTACAAAGAGCATTAGTGAATGAATTCTTCGAGGGTGAGAGAATTATGAAAGTGTTTTATACAAAAGTTTGTTTGATGAATATCCATGTCACTGAGATGAAAATTCATATTTTTTTCATAGTATTAATAAATAACGTGAAAAGTTGTAAAAAATATTAATGTTTTTCTCGTGAGTGGAATAAATTCGTATGACCTTAGGCGGTCATTTAATTATCTCAAATTCGTTTGACTTGAGAGACGAAAAATTTAATTTCTTACGCCACATACAGGCTTTCAATTTGGTACAATGCAGTGGTTGGCTTATGTACAAGTGTATGACAGGTGGGGCACCTGCTTGCGGCTCTTTTTTAAAATGATTATCCAACGACACTGAAGCCGTCGACAGGCATGAAAAATGGTTTATACCTCCTTCGAGACAAAGGAGCCATTAGTGACTCGTGTCTGTGATCTGCGCGGTCTCCATTCCCTGGTCTCTCACCCTTGGATTACTCGGTTCTTTGTATAAATTCGTTGATGGTAGTCAACCAAGCTGTTACCTAAAGTCTACGTTAAACAATGTCAGTAATACTGCATCATAAGAAATAAATAATAACAACATCTATTATTATATTTTACTTTTTCATTTTGCTCTTATGTCAATATTTTTTATTTACTCTTCTGAAAAGACCCTCTTGATAAGGACTGTAATGATGAATTAAAGAAGACCGGAGGGTTTCGACGAGCTAATGAAAACTGAGATTGAGGTTGGCGTGAGCGCGATCGATCTGCGCGGTTCGTCGCGTGGGACAAAGGAACCCGAGCAAAGCTGTTCTGAGGCTAATCACCGAATCGTCCGATAAAAGCCTTTTGAGAATTTTCCCTTAAGAGTAACGAGGGAAGAGCTAGTCTTGTGAATTGTGAGTGAACCTAAATCAAACTCAAGATCACGAACATTCTTCTTTACTATTCATCAAGGGATGAGAAAAACTAATAACCGTTGAATGTTTCATGAAAATCCATTTTGTTTTGAAAAATCTTTTTGGTACATCCTTCTTAAATCTACTGCAATTTTAATCTTCTTTTCTACAATGTTTTTTTATCAAACAAATTTTGAATCTCTGCCATTTTTAGCTTTACTTAACTTGGTAAATGAAATTTCTACGATGATTTATTTATCAAATCTTGCTTCAATAAATCCATTTTCAATCTAAATAAAATACGTATCTATAGTGAGTGAAAGTAATTTTTTTTCTTTTTCATGATACTAATTCTCTTCTTGCCTTCATTAATTACAAGAGACTCTTAGTAACCGAGGGAGTTGAATGAAGGAAAAATTATTATGATAAAATTTGTTATAAAGTATCTCAATCCTCTTTATCTAAATAACATTTTTTCATAATTAACAAACTTCAGACTGAGTAGAAATCCTTAATTAATTATAAACGAAGCGTAACGTTTATATCTTGAAAGTGACTTTATTAATTGAATTAAATTTGAAGTAACAAGGCAACTCCAGCGAGAGTCCATTTCGCTGGTTTATCTTTTGACTTCAAATTAAATGTCCATACATAAGTAGGACCACGTGTTCGTGTTTTATATAATGGGCATTCGTACATATTTCGCAAATCTTGTTTATCCTGAGTTATTGCTCGTATATTAATCACTGGCATCATTGGGAATAATTCCTTCGGCCTGGAGTCCACTAAAATTCCAGCTTGAACATCCCATCGGGCTCCTTCCATAAATATTCCATGAATGTAAGCCCCGTCTTTCGGTGCAGTTCTTTACAAAGAAAACGAATAATTAAATAAATAATGAATTTTTATCGTTGATTGATGATGACAGTACTTACGTGTACTCTTCTTTATTCTTTTTTGTAACGTCACACTGGAGGCACATTTTATCTAACGGCCATTCATGTCTTCTTGCTGTCGACTGCATAATTGCTGTTAATAATGATTGAGGATTAAAAAATCCTGCTAACCATACACAAGCCGGAAGCTGAGAAAAAATATTTACATTATAATCATCAGATTCTTTATTCATTAAAGTTGTTTGAACATAAATATAAATTATTGTATATTGACTTACTGCAAAGTCAGTTGACCAGGTTTCTAATTCTCTGAGTCGCAATAAAAGATCAACAAACCAAGCTGTGAGTCCCAATAGAGATGGATACGCCCTTTGAGACCAGATAGGTGGAACTTGATCGAGGAAAAGAGCATTTTCTAGATCTTCCATGTCTGAAGTGATAGTTAATTCTCCTTTTAATCCAAGATCGAGTTCTCTAAGTGACCTCTTCATTTCACCGGTCAGCCAATTCATTCTCTCACACTCTTGAAATGCTACAATTACATAAGGGGTTCGTTCTTCAACTTTAGCCATTATATCTGTCATATTAAATTCTTCTGGTAATTTTTCCATTATTTCATCTAGAATTTGTTTTACCTGAAAAGTCAAAAAAAAAGATGCGTCATTATTTTCTTAATAAATGTCAAGTTTTTTAGTAAAGCATACTTTATCTTCTCTTGTTACTGTCTGACCACCAGAGTCGCCAGCATCTCTAGGCTGCATTTCAAAGACTGTCCTAAACAAATTCTCCGAGGTTGTCGTTAGAAACCCTATTTCTGCATTTGGATGTAGGCCGTAAAGGTAGGGTGACTCGGGTGGAATTGATTCGTCAATGTAGGCATGGTAACCGGCTAAGTCGGTGTTTGGAGGAGCCGGAAAGCCTTTGAAAAGAATTCAATTTAAAGATATATAATTTATAAAAAAGCTTTTGAATAAATAATTTTTATCAAATATCAGACTTTTACATTTACATAATAAATTTATATTCAAATGATTATTCATCATTTACCCATTTAATTCTATAAATTGAATTTGATCGCTCCAAGATTACTTCAATTATGTTATCTCTTTCCCACTTTGTAATATAAAATACCTGGAGCTAATTGAAGTTCTCCATCGACCAAGTCAGGCTGCATTAATTCTTCAAGATAAGATACGCAAAGTTTTCTGTCCCAATCATCAGTTATATGTCCCCCATACATGATTTCGCCAAAGAGGTATCGCAAATCTTCCCATGGAACCCTTGGGCTTGCTTCGAGATAGTTGTAAAGCACACTGACGCTAATGTTGAGGTCACCCACGTTAAAGGGATAGATTTTGTTCCAGCCCTGAGGTCCAAACTTTCTTCGTTCCGCCACTACAGCGTGGAAGTAACAAAGAGAGAAGAGGATAGCCTTGAACTCCGCCTCCTTACTGCACATCTCGAGAGTCTCTTGCGTGAAATTGTCGAGTGCCTTGTGCAGATTTGCTTGCATCCCGGTGGGCGGCTCATTCGTGATCTTGATGGAGGACTCAAGTACGCCTTGAGGAATTATATGACCTGCTGGAGTACTTGCCGGTTCTGCACTCATAAAGACTCGGTAGTCTGGATGAGATCCTTCAGCTGCAACTTCAAGTTTCTTCTCCAAAAGTGGTAACCACTTTTTCACTAGATGAATGTTTTGCAATATTACCCAGTGTCCCATCTTTGATGCTATATCCATTGCTTGCTCTGCTACTGTCTCTTGACCTTGACCGAGAGAAACATTATGGAAGTTTTGACTATCCGAGGTATATCCCATTTTACGTCCTAAGTCTTCAACGTCCTGACGAAAACAAAATATATATTTTTTTTTCTATTCTTATTTATCTTGATAAAAGTCTCAATCATACCTTGAGTGGATTTACTCCCGGAGAAAGGATAAAGAAGATGGGAGTCGAAGGACCGGTTTCTTCGAAGGATTTCGAAAACTCAACAGTCTTACCCTCGACGTATCGCACGCCAAGCTTCTCTTCGATGAACACTGATATAGCATAGGTCATCCTGTCAGGCCTTAAGGCTCGTAAGATGCACAAACGTTGGATAGATGTTTTATTTTTCCATTCTTGAGGGAACTTTTCTCGTTCTGGGCAGTCACATTCCACAAACTTTTTCCACCGTTTTGCTGATACTTCAATATCTCTATCTAAATTCCTGCAGATAAAATGGTTTCTTTATTGCATCCACTTGGATAGTTTATTAAATAATAACTTGCCTAAATTCATCTCTAGAAGCTAGACTCCTTATTCCTCCCCAACTACTATTGGTCAGAAAATCAACTGGGGACGTGACATGGGGGACAATTGGAAACCTGAGCAGAAAGTCTAGTTCAGTTGTAGTTATCTCTTTCTTGGCTAAAAGAATCTGAAAGGCCATCTGAGATGTGAATATCAGTTTATCACACTCGAATAATCCTCTCGTTGTGTACATGAAGACCGAATAGGTGATACACTCAATAAGATTCATTACTCTGCCTGTCACGTCGGCCGCTGGATCAGCTCTGACAATAGCTTTCTGAAAGACAACACTAAAGGCTTTCAAAGAGAACTGGTATATAGGATTGATAGTATTAAGATCGTTGAGAATGAAATAGAGAAGTGATGCTCTTGCTGCCGCAGGTCTATAAAGTTCTCTTGCTGCATCTATTTCTTTACTAGTCCCACGAGCTTCTGTTACTTTACGTTCTATTTCTGCTGCTGTCTTTTTTGTTGTTTCTAAATTTTCCACTAAAGCTGTATCTCCTAAAACATTGCTATCCGCTGAAGATAATCTACAAAAGAAGCAGAAAGAGATAAAAATAAAAAAAAATGAAGGAATCATTTGAATAAAAATTGTTTTATATTTTTCTGACTGACCGTGAAAGAAGCGAATCTTCCAGACTATTTAAAGTGATTTTAAAATCATTCTGTTGTCTTGTAAGCTCAGCTTTTAAATCTTCTAAATCTGGACGTTCAACCTTAACAACTTCAGCCAAAAGTTGATCTTCCAAACCATCTCTCGTGACAGTGAAATTAATAAGAGTTGTTTGGGCCTGCATTTCAGGTTTGTAATGAGGATTTGCCAGTTTGGTATGCAATATAAGTCTGAATTTAGGATTGTATTCAACTTCCTTATCTCCTATTTTTATCGCTTGCCCTTTTTTAATGAGATTCCTTCCGAGAAGGGGATCAAGAACCGGATCTACTGCTTCCCCTATATTTTCTATTAGAACGGTAGCACCTGCCGCTAGAGATTGCTCAATTACATCTAAATATCCCCTTTGTCCCAATCGAATCACTCGTAGGTCATCTCCATACTTTTGTTTTATCCACTTGATACCTTGCAACTAATAAACTCATTTTTAACAATAATTGAATGATCAAAAAATAGAAAAAAAATTTAAATACAGACATAAAATGAAGTAAATAATTAATTGATTATATCAGTCTACTTTTTTTGTGCTACTCTATACGGTAGCGAGCAAGTTAATTACCTGCGGATCAATCATTAGAGGCCAACGATCTGAATTAGAAAGAATTGTAGCATTTTCTGTACTCATTCGATCGTTCGGTAAACCTTCATTGTTCCATTTAGCAATTTGCGTGTCATTTGTTAGGAGAGTAAGAACATCAAGGCCATCAGTAATAGGAACAGGTGGTTCTATTGTTTTAAGAGCAGGTAACCATTGCTTGTGTAGAAGATCTAATCGGAAGGACTTAGTGAAGCATCCAACATAGGAAATAAACGCAGTAACTAGAAGTACATCTCCAGGTAAAGTTTCTCCTTGATGCTTCAAACTGCATAATAATTATAAGGATCAATAAATTATATCGAGTTAATGAAATTTAGCTTTGAGGTAAATGGACTTACTCAGCAACTGAATCTGCCCAACGAACATTCTCCGAGGCGAGACCTCCTACTAATCGATTAGCTAGTGCGATGATTGCATTAGTGGCGTCTGCTTCTTGCTGGCACTTGAGCTTCTCGGATGTCGCTTGTTCGAAGTCAGCTGTGAGCTTCGCTAATTGCTCTTCTAATGACTGAATAAATTTAAGAAGTGCAATTAATCATCATTAATTCATTTTTAACAGAAAAAAATTTTTTATTTGGTTAACGGAACATTTGACTTCAGAATCTTTAGTTTTTTTTAGCTAATTTTTTGATGTACTTCATTTCAGTATAATTTAATGAAGAGATATTGTCAATAGTTTTGTTCAAGAAAATGAAAGAAAAATTGATAAATTCATCAAATAATTCTATTAATACTTGACAAGAATCGCTATATTCCATTAACTATTTATAATTACATACTGCTATTTAAATATGAAGTGAAAGTAATAGAAAAAATGAACTATAATGAATCACTAGTAATATCTAACGTTATCTATTCTCATCAATATTTGATTACCAAATGGTATGTAATTGCTTGTTTCAAAAAGAAAGTGTTAAAAGTTTCATACAGATTTTATTTGATAAATCAGCAGATAAGTATATGCCAGTAATATAAAAAGACGCTTTTTCAAAGTATTTTCATTAGAAGCCAACATGTTGAAACAGAAGTTATTTCTGCTTATGGTCGGGGTTCTCGTCAGTTCATTGTGTAAGTCAACTGTATTCATATTTATCCTCAACAAGTGTTTTTAAGTTTATATAAATTTGTTAAATATTTATCAATCTATATTTGGAGTCATTTTTAAATACGTTCTATAGTTTGTTATCTAATCATTATTAAAATTAATAAATTTTAACTGCAGGGGCTGAAGCAAGACCATTCTGGGGTAATGGAGATGAAAATGATACGGTAGCAGATTCTGAATATGTTTATCCGTCTGATTGGGAAAATAAATGGGATATATCAAAACCTGTAGAACCTGATAATTCGGATATGTTACCACCAGTATTCTGGGTGTATGATAGCAGTAAGTAAATTACAAAACCTATATTAATCACAACTCAAGGTATGCAGATAATTTAATTTTTTTATGTAATTTGTTTACAGGAAAGACGGAATCGGATGATTCAAGTCAACGGTACAGTCTTTGGCCATGGAAAACAGCTGATAAAAAATAATCATTAACAACTTCATGGGGTCTAGAAGCTCGATGAGGGTGGAGAAGACGAATCAGAAGTTGAAGAAGTAAAAGAAGAAAGTGTTTGTTGAAAAAAAAGAAAAAATAGTTAATGCAAAAAATATTATTATTGAAATTATTGTTATTAAAATCATTGTTATTAAAATTATTGTTATTAAATGTCTTGACATACTTATTTCGTAAATATGTTTTTAATTGACTTCATTATTTTACTTTATTTCGGTTCTACGGTTGAATGATTATGTTATTAATTGTTGGAATAAATGCATTAAGCTATTAAATTTCCGATTGATTTTTAGAAAATTCAAAATGAACAAAATCTTTATTTTTTCAGATATTATAGGAAACGGCTTATGCTTTTATAAAAGATAAATAAAATTATGAAAGTGGTATATTATTAAAATAAAAATGATCTCAATAGTAAAACGATTATTTTTCTATGTTTTTAATAGCTTTAATACACAAATATTTCGGTTTCACGAAATTGAAATTAAAAATATTATAAACTTCCTATCGGTAAAGATTGATAATAATATTTGTGGGTCATCAAAACCATTTTAAGTAAACAAAAGTTAAGTATTTTTTCCTTATAATCCATCATGTCAAAGCGCGAACGACAGTCTTCTATAGAATCTACAGGTAGATCTACTCAAACTAATATTTTAAACATTTACAAAGTCAATGACATATTAACATTGTAACATGATCGTTATGTTTGAATAAAATTACAAAACTTATCATGTTATCCATTTCTATGTTATTATGGTTTAAGTATCAAATGATATGTAATCCATTGTTCAGAAAAGAATTATTACAAAATTCATTAAAATTCAAGTCAAATTAACAAACATCAAATTGAATTGAAATTATTTTTATACATTTTATAAAATTCTTATTGGATTCTATTCCTATTATTATTTTTAACCTCATGGTTGAAAAGTATAAACGATAATAATGATAAAAATCTCATGCAATGATTCTTTGCTCTAATCAAAAGAATATAATTCTACCGCAGAGGAAAGATAAACAAAAGTTTGATGAAAAATAAAAGTAATTATGTAATTAAAAGACGTAAATTAAATACTCACAGCAACTTTTCGTTTGATACCACTTAATTTCTCTTGAGCAGCTGCTAATTCAGCATTTGCTTGCGCTAGGGCTTTCCTCTTAGGTTCAACATCACAGAAAACTTCGTAAAACTTAATGATATTGATAACCCAAGCACATAAACCCGCAGCGGCAGCGGATTTTGATCGTACAAATTCTGGTTCAAATTCAGAGTCTTTTAAATACGGTTGTATAGCTTTTATGACCTCTGGATGTATATTTTCTTTATCATAATTTATTAAAGAATCAAGAAATGCATCAACTTTAGCCATGACGATCTAAAGAAAATTCGTGAGAATAATTAAAAACTTCTTCAAGGGTTTTAATTAGATCTAAAACGAATGATGTGTCATTAAAACAAACGTACTTTGGCAGCTTTCCAACTCCTATCCTTTGGCACCTTGCCATTAGGTGCGAGGAGGACCATTACAGCGGCGGTGACGTTGGTCACAGCGCCTGGTGGAGATCCAAATGACTTTAATTCTGTGAGATTCGCTTTATTAAGAGTGTTTAAAGCCTCTTGAGCTGCTAGTAAAGCTGGTTCGGCCTTTACCAAATCCGCTTCACAATCCTTCTGTTTTTTCAGCACTTCCTCCGCAATTACAGCGACTTTCGATTCCTCCTCATCAGCTAAACAATGTCAAACATTAATGTGTAATTTTTTTATCAGTCTATTAGGTTTATTAGTATTATTGGAAGTAATTAATTAATGGATTTTGCCATCCAATTTAAGACCAATTTTTCGTAATTCCAATATGTGAAGTCTTTTGTTCACCTCAATAGGGGAAATAATGAAATAAATTTATCTTTTACCTAATGCTTTTTCTTTCTGGACCTTTTCCGTTTCAACGCCAACAATAGCTATCAGAGCATCCGCAGCTTCATTTTTCTGCTGTAATTCTACTTCCTGTATAGCCAATTTTTGCTTCAATTCAGCTACTTGAGCTGCTGTTGATCTTAACTTCGCCAGACCATTTTCCAGCCGCTCGATCCGGCCCCTTAATTCGCTGGATTTAGCTTTAAGAAGTTTCATGTACAGACTAATTTGTTCCAGGAATGACTTTGGTGTAGTATAATTGTAACGTCGTTCGCTCGCCAAATAGAGACGGCTCGTTGCGTTCACGGTCGTGTGGGCATGGGCCATGAACTTTGCTGCTGACTCCCTAAAATATTATTTGTCGCATCGTTGATTATTACTGTAACAGCATTTAGTATTATAATATTCTTGAAAATACCTGCAGTCCACTGGTAATTCATCGAGTTCTTCTAAAAATCTCTTTGAAACGGACATCAAAGCCTCCTGAGGCCACTCATGAAACCAGTTGATTGCAGTACAGTTTATTATTGCTGGGAATTTCCTTGATCTTACTCTTAATATTGATCCAACTGGTGAGAAGCATAAAACAATTCTGAAAATTAAATTTTCAAGTTAGTTACTTAAATAAATATTTCCATTTTAAAAGTAACTTAATTAACCATTTTTTTAGCAAAAATGAAATTTAATTAAAAAATATTTTCTAATTCAATTTTATGCGATAAAATTTTAAAATAAACTCTTAATTTACTTTAGCTGTCGTCTAACTCGATCAATGAAGAATTTCCAACAATTTTCCCTGCTATCCAATATTCCAGCACCCTTTACCTCATTTCGAACACCTTTAATTGAAATAGGATATTTACAAGAGACCTTTTATCTTTTTTAGTCAAGAATAAATGACAAGTAAAAGACAAATCACCTGCAATTATATTCTCCACTTCATCTTCGGGAAAAAGATCTGGTACTTCGCCAGATGCAAGCATGTCATTAATTAAAACTAAAAACTGTTCATTAGGCACCTGTGCATCAGTCATTAGAAACATGATGCCTATATTTTTAAGTCCAGACTTCATATACAAAGCAGCGAGTTCCATTTTCAAATCAATTACTCCATATCCCTTTCGTAATTGAATCTGCGAGACTTCTAGAGAGCTTATGAATGCTGCCAAGCGAGAAAGGCTTTGTTTTCCAGAACCCCCAACGCCAACTAGTAAAGCACTTCCTCTTGGTGATTCTAAAATTCGATTTATACGACAAACATGCATCATTGCATCTTCAAAGAGAACTAGGTTCATCGCAGCAACTAAATCATTGTAGCTTATAAGAGCTTCTGACAATAGACGGTTAAGTGTCGTCCAATCTTTCACTGGCATGTATTTAGGTTCACCGACACCACCTAAAAATATTTATTATTCATCATCATCAAGGAGCTGAAGTTATTGTACTAACTTGATGAATAAACGATTGGACATTAATAGAAAAGCATCCATGCATTATATCATCTCGACAAGGTTAAGTCAATGAACTTATAATTAATTCATGGAATTTTCAATATAATCATTCATTAGTAATTACCCGCAAAGTGACAATATATATTTGGTTTCTCCAGTACTGCACTTTCATCAATTTCCTCGGTATTTTTTTTCAATATATCGATTTGTAATTTAATAAAACTATCAATGTCTTTGTCATCAGTTAATTTATCTCCATAAACTCGATGAGTTTCATGCATCCAAAGACGAATAATATCACAAGATGACTGAAGACATTCATTTCCACTAAATAGCATGCCTTGGAAACAATTTGAGAGATCACGTAGATTAAAAATATAATGGAATTTTGTTGCTGTAGGTAGAAAAACTTGAGCACATCGATTGTGAAGCTGAAGAGAGGCTTGGACGATGCTATCTCCCATCTCTGTCACGCACAATGGAAACCTAGCAACCCAAAGTAATTGAAAAAATTGAGAGGATTATTATCAAGATAAAATAATGATGATTATTTTTTTTCTTCAATAAAAATAGAGTACCAATTACCTGTGTTCAAGGTTAGCTAAATGTTGAGAAAGAATTGATGAATAAATCGTCATTAACGAGTCATTATTAGGAAAGCTGACAGCAAATACTATAAAATGTCTTTGTAGACGAGGATTTATTGTAAAAGAACCCGCAGTAGGGTTCATACAGCTGATATACTGACAATTATGAATATCTTTCAGAGATAATTTAGTCCTGTCATACCAATGTCCATAATCCAAATGCTGACGAATGAGTGTGTGTGGTTGAACTGTACCATAGGTATCAACCTCAGGCATATTCATATCATCGATAAAATAAATCAACGTTTTATTCCCTGGTGGACCATAATTTCTCCCTGCTTTTTTCTCTAATGGTTTTTCTAGAATTTTTTGCAGCATCTCCGATGATGTATAGAAATTAAAAGGTATATTTGTAACAGCGTAGTTTTCAGAAAGTTGAAGAAGTTTCTCAGACACTAAAACTGTTTTTCCACATCCTGCTGTACCTACGAGCATTACTGGATTCTTTTCAGCCATTAAAAGGTCCAAGAAATATTTTATTCTTATCGATTCCGCAGTGTGAACTACAGCAGCTTGTAGAGGAATGTCTGGATCTAATTCAAATCTAGGAACACGTTCATTCCAATGCATAAATTCTCTCGTTTCTGGATCAATATAATAATCAAAAACTGAACCTTGAGATGGAAATTTCACTTGTTTAAATTCATTAACCCACCATTTAGTATATTCTACTCTGTAATCAATATTTTGGTCTTGAAACATGGCTGATCCAAACGCCCAGACTGCCGCAAAATTAAAGTACAACTCGTAATGATCTTTTGTAAATTCATGTGCTGTAACTTCTGGTTTAAGAAGACAGTTCAATAGTTGACACAACATTTCCACATGAGCCATGTCAGCAATTGGAGTTATTTTCTTGAATCTTGTTCTCAGTGTTTCTAAACATATTGGTATGTATTTATCAAATAGAGTTACGAGATTCGATTTCTCTGCTGGTATAGTTCGGGTTTCTATCCAACTAGTTACATAAGGATTCCAACCAAGGTCCTGAGAATTTATATAAAGTATTCCTGCACGAGAGACAGTAGCAGGTGTTGCCGTTCGCAAATTTGAAATTTCAAATAATAGTCTCATTGCTGGTGTTAGAGCAATTCTTTCGTTGCTTGCAAGGGTAAGAATTTTATTATCATCCATCACCGTGTTCAATGATTCAATCCACATTGGATCTATATCACCATCAAGAATGATCCATTTAGGATTTTCTCCACCCAAGTTAGCTTGGTCCCTCATTATTACAGAAAATAAACCATCTTTCCATTCTCGTGTCGCCGGATTTATTATTCCAAAGAGCTCATCGTTGGTTACAGCTTTAGGGTTGAGATCATTATAGATTGGTTTTCTTTTAATATTTTGGTAAGTTCTAAAAAGAGTTCGCCAGACTTGAGTTTTTCCACAACCTGCTGTGCCAACAATAAATACAGAATGTCTGACCTCTAACAATTCTTCCAACTGGACGACCTTGAGAATAAAACCATCTTCGGGTTGAAGTAATAAATCAGCTGCTGCTTGTTTTACTGTTTTCTCAAATTCCACATCTCTCTTTCGCGGTACATCTAAAGCTGGAAATAAATCTGCAATTAATCCCATGAAAACTGGCAGATCATCAGAAACTATTTTTGGAATATTAAAATCTCGCAATGCTCTCATGAGTACTTCTTCTTCAGGTCTTCCTGGATCTCCTCGTTTTAAACTTCCTGCCACCACTAAAACTGATTTTATTGCTCGCAATCCCCAGTCATAATGATCTTGTTTCGACAATAATTCTTTACAGAGTGTATATAAAGTAATAAATTTTCTTGCTAATATTTTAGCATCTTGAAATCCTTCAGCAACTAACATAATTTCACAGATAAGTTCAAAATCAGGTACTACCATGGCACATGGTCGAAATAGAGCTTTTAAATTTTCTGGTAACTCAGTACGTCCGGCATATCCGGGATTCATAGTAATAAAAATTCCAACAGTCGGTTCTAATTGAATTATTTCTCCCATAAAATTGAATTTTTGTTTTTTATCTCTTATGGCATCCTGAACAGACTTCACTTGGACAGCTACAACTGACAAAACTTCTACGGAAATTCTGTTAAATTCATCGAAGCATCCCCAAGCACCAGTTTGTGCGAGACCTTTATAAATGTTCCCACATGATTTGTAATCCATTTGTTCAGAGCAGTTAAAAACGTACACCATTATACCTAATGCTCGACCTAGATCTTTGGTGGTCTCTGTTTTTCCAGTTCCTGCAGGACCAGCAGGTCCTCCACCCATTATTAGATGTAGCGATTGAGTTAGAGTAATGTAACATCTGTCAGTTAATGGAGTAATAACAAGCCTGGAAGCAATTTATCTTTATTTAATTTTATACTTCACATAGAGAGAAATAAATACGAATATTTTTTATTATTGCTTAAGAACAAGAAAAATAAATTTAGGTAATTAAAAATTTCATTTAAAATTCTCAATAATTACGGTACCTGGGCGTATTTCCTAAGTATTCATGTGAGTATTTAAACTGAGCATCGCAAATATTAGCGAAGCAATCTTTTTCTTTTTCATCCCATCGATGACGCAGCTGACTTTGCCATTGGAAAGCCTGTGCAGTTTCTACTTTAGCTTGTACCAGCTTAGCAACAACGTCTCGTGAGTGAACGTCGATAGTACAAATGGTCATGACTTTCTGTCGATCCTGTTTACTCAATTCACCAAGTAAAAGACTGATCAACGTACTGAGTTGTAGAATTTGCTTTTTAAGATAATCTTTAAGAGCATTATCGTATCCTTCTTCATATCGAGAAAATGCTAAATTCACTTCAGTAGTCCACCAAATTTGAGTTCCACAGAGAGAAACTTGTGCTGGATAATCAAACAACCATTGTTCTCGAGGTTTCTCTTCATAACCAACGACAGCTTCACTAAAATAATGACGAATTGATACACGCATTGCACTTTGCAGGCGATTTAACCAAACTTCAACTGCTCCTTCACAAACCATTTCGCAATTAGTGAAAGTTACATACTCTCCATCTTTTGCATACATTCCATCTGTAATAAAATGTAATACTATTATATTTCATTTTTCAAATGGATACTATTAACTTTTAAAATTTTACTCAAATAAGTTATGAATTCTGAATATATTACAGAAAATTATTAACCGTTCGAAATATACATAAAATTGTTCTTTTTTATAATTCTTGAATTTTTTATTAAAATAATATATTTTCATTTCTCGAATTTTTATCTTACCAACAGCTCGATAAACACTCGGATTATCTGAATTGAATTTAAGTCTAGCCATGGAATCAAATAGCTTAGTCAAGTGTTTTGCTACTACTTCAGGTTGATTTCCATTTGAGAGAATATCCAACAAATCAGTAGAAGAAATAAAATAAAACCGAGGGAAGGCAAGTCGCTTAGTCTCCAAATATTCTGCTAACGCTTTTTCACAAAGCACAAGCTCTTTTTGCAAAACATCAAGTGCTGCTGCCAATCCTTCTCTATTAGTGGCTTGTACAACATTTGGGGTTTTCGCCATTTCTACTGTCATTTTCTTAAACTCTTCATCGATTCTATCGAAGCGTTCTGCGTCGACTGGAAGTTGTTTTCTAATATCTTCTGACGATAAAAAAATACTCTCTAGATGCATCCACGTTCGTTGTACTTCAAACCAGATAGTTGTTACTTGATCAGCAATGCTTAACTTCTTCTGCCAACATGAAACTTCTTCTAGGAAATGAGCAATAAACTTTGATGTGATCAAGTTTTGCAATTGAACCTGAAAGAAATTTTTTGAATAAAAAATGAGATAATTTGATTATAATTTTTATTATGAATTGGATTATTAATGACCTGATTTTCTTCTAGAGTTTCAATGAGCTCTTCACTAGCCTTCAATAAAGTTGCTCCAGTTCGTTGATGAACTTCTCGTTCAAACTCCATTGTGGACCAAGTAGAATTAAGTTCTCGAAGATACTTTTCCATCGACATTTCCTTAACTGCTTTATCAACAATGTTCTTAACTTCCTCCTCACAATCATGAAGATTTAATTCCAGCAAATCAGCGAGAGTTGTTGATTCATCCATTACGAATCGGACCTATTTGATATAGTTTTAATTAATTCTTCAAAATCTTTATCAACTTTGTATAATTCTTAATTAGTACAATTTTAATAAACGTCTCCATAAATTTGTAAATTTATTTCATATCTCTACAAATTTTCATCTCAATTGAAAAAATTAAATAAAATAAATCATTTTCTATTTGAATTTGCAACAAAGATTCATCATAAATTACTTTATTGCAGATTTTTTATGCAATAAAGTATTTTTTTTACGCTGTACTAAGTAAGAATTTATCGAGAAATGAGATGCTTTTATGAAATAAATGTAAACAGGCGAATGAATAATAAGCAGGGCGATGGATAATAAATTTTTATTTTACATTTTATTGCATTATGATATAATTACAATGATTGCTTGATTAATTGATGTATAAAATAATTTGCAAACTAAATATTTGTTGAGCAGTGTTAAAATATGAATTATAAATGATTTGTGAAAGAGATTAAAAATTTCAACTTATTTCTATCTAGTTATCTATAATTTAATAAATATTAAAATTTTTTATATTTATATAATAATCATACCGTGCATTTATGTACAGTGGACTTACTGTTTCTTCTGGAGTCATGTCGCCCAATCTCTGTAACATTCATAGCGTATATATACAGCCGTGCAACTAGACTACAAATTTCTCATAAAATTCATTAAACAACTAAAGAACATTTGTAAAGTATTTCAAGAATTTAAATATTTCAGTTTAATTAATGACTCTAACGAAGGATTTGACACCTTGTGGATCTCAAGGATACCTTTGTGCTATTCATCAGTTGTCTCCAGTGTCTTTCACGGATGGCAGGGTTTTGAAGTTCGCCCACGGCTCTTAGAGATGTCAACATATTCTTCACGGTCGCCTCTAATGAAACGTACGTATCCCAAGGTCGCATTTCTTTGTCCAGAGCTAAAATTCAATGGGATACTTTAGACAGTTGTGAAAAGAGAATCGTGAATTTAAACCATAATTAGATAATATCTGACCTCGAATTTCTTTAGCAAATTTTTTGCATTCAATGTCCATGTTCTCTACGTCAACTTTCCTCCAGGGTGTTGTCTTCCAACCTTCAATGCTACTTCTAACGATATAAACATAGTCCCAGAGCTGTTTTAGCATCTTAAGTTCTCTCCTACATTGTTTCAACTGCTTGAACTCTGGTACTGTCACCTCAAAAAGAGATGCTGACTCTTGAATATCATTCATCTGTCGCTCAAGCATACAAATCTCTTTATCTGCTTCATCTAACAGTCCATAGGCGTTCTGACAGTCATACTTGAAAAAGTTATAACGGCGAAAGGCTTCTCTGTAGTGACCAATTGTAGTATCAAATGCAGATATCCTTCCTCGTATACGTGAAACCTCACCTATAATAAATAATGATATGAATGCGATTATAAAGTAAATTAGTTAATCATCAACTTACCAGCTTGCAGCGGTGCAACCTGTTGCTTGACTAAAAGAGCAAGTTTTTTTGTATTAGCCCATTGCTCGGGTAATTCTTGGAGTAATACATTCACTTCCTCTGGGATATCTTGATCATAGAATTTGAGAAGCTCAATAGTTTCCTGAAGGGGTTGGAACATTTCATCTGTTGTTGGTTGACGCTCTTTTACTTGCATCAGATATCCCATAACAGCGATGAGACCCACGTAATCACCAGGTTGAATCTGCTGTAGTAAACCCTCGTCAGCTAATCTGCTCATTAAATTCAAAATATTATTAGTCGAAGTTTTTTCATTGTTGGCTAATTCTGGATAATCTGTTCAATTATTTTTTCAAACTTCCCCTTCGAGAGTTATTTTATTACCTTGAATTTGTCTATTGATTTCAAAATTACCTTATAAAGTTTCCTAAATCAGACAGGCTGCTTGTGACACGTTCAACTAAATGTTTTTTAAACATGCTGGACCATTTGCATACAGTATTGAGTAGTGACTGTTTGAAGGGTCTAAGGTTAACTCGGAACCACCCACAAAAAACTCGTGATGGTTTCATCTCTTCAATCTCGAAATAGAGACCCTCATATAAGTCAATCTGTTCTCGAAATTGCTCCATTCTTGGGGAAGCTTTTTGGGGTGCTTTTGGGTCTAACATTGCTATCATCTCCATTTCATCCATTGTCAATTGACGACTGTATTCAAGAAACTGTTGCATCACAGTATCTCGATCTTCCAACCATAAATAAGCATATCCTTTAAATAAATGAAAATTAATTAAAAAAATATTCAATTACAAAAAAATTATAATTAATATTATATGAATCACCTTCAAAAATTCCACAAAATTCAGTTGCTTCATCAATAGCTTTACCTACTCCAGATAAAATTTCATTTTTCATAGCAGTAATGTCTGCGTCTTGTTCTATATCAACTCTATATCCTTCAACGTCACTTCTTAATCTTGGAATTAAAGAAGCCATGTTCATAATATCATTTAGGAGACCAACAATTAGTTGTTCAAGCCCCTCAGGATCATCTGGTTCTAATGAAGGTTCGTAGTATAAATCTGGTTCGCGAAGCTCTAATTTAGCTTCGAATAAAGCTTCTCTTTGTCCCACTGGATCCATATTCTCTGAAAGATAACTTAAACAACAACCAACACTCCTACGAAGATACTCTACAACAATATCATCAACATATTCGACATATTTTTTCCAAGCATCCTGAACTTCGGTAGAAATTTCAAATAGAAGCTCATTTTCTCTAAGAAGGGCGTGAATTTGTTCAGCACCTTTGTGAATTTCGCTATAACGCTTTGCAATGTTTTCTGCCCTTTCATCTAAAGCAAGTAACGTATCTTTACGATGATCTTTCCGTTCAATTAGTGGAGTTTTAGTCCATGGCTCTAAGATTTTCTTAATCTTTTCAACGTTTGCTTGAATTGCTTTCAATCTCTTCCATAGATTTTGCACAAGTACTCCCAGCTCATTGATGTAATCAGCTAGTCCTTCTGAATTCCAACAAAGCTCCTTCTCTCCACGCGTTACCATGGAATCGATCCTTGCTACTTCCAACTCAATAAGATTATATTCTATTTGTCTAGAAGTCCTTCTTATGTCATTGTATGAAGTCACAGTAATATGTAGAAAAGCTCGAAATTTCCGAAATACCTCAGCTTTCTCTGCTACCTAAAATATAATAATTTTAATTCCGTTGCCATTGATAAAATTGATTGAAAATAAAATTAATTAAAAAATACTTGTAGAGCAACTTCAGGAATATTTTCATGGGCCGTTTGTTTAAGATATTTAACTTCCTCTAGAATCGCAAGTAAATCTGAGTCAAAGTTAACCATTAAAAGAATGGAACCCCGATCCCTTGTCAATAAAGTTCGTCGGAGTCCTTTTTCAACTGCTTGCGGTACGAGCTGAGCCCATTCTTCAAAAAGGACTGTGTCTTTTTCGTTCAGTAAATTAATAAATCTTTCATATCGCGCTAAAATATTCTGTCCTTCTTTGCTCTCTACAATACTGCAATCAGAGTCTGATTTATGAATACTATTTTTTCAGATCTCAAAGGTTAATGAACATCTACCCACGAGTGTTGAAGAGTTTTGAATGACTGCACTGGAAGATTGATTCGTTGTCTGAGCATACTGGTAAATTGCAGTGCTGCAGCTAAGGGGGGAAGATCGCTGAAGGATTCACGTATGCCACGATGGAAAAGTATTTCTACCATTGTCAATTCATTATTCAGCAGTTCGTATATCTGAGTGTAACGGTCCATAAATTGTTTGCGAATTACTGTTCGATTCAGCACTGTTCCAGAGATATTGATCAGCTGAAAAGATGATAAATTAATGCTACAAAATGCTGTTGGGGAATATTTCAAATATTCTAGAGACAATACTACTCAAAACAAAAAAAAAAATATCGAGATAGATACTCAACCTTGAAAGCACTCTCCAAATTGCTGCAGTCATCAAAAGCTTGGCAAAGTATTGCAGCAAGTTTGCTGTCTAGGTCTGTGATCGATTCGCTGAATTTGGCACAGTTGACAGCAAAAGATTCATCGTCAGGTTCAAGAACATCACTAGCACGTGCTGAGAATGCAGCAAAAAGATGCTGAAACTCTTTTACAACTGAAACAATTCTTGCACTTAAAGAACGACCTAGAATTCCACCAATTTCTATTTTTTCTAGTTTAGAAAATTCCAAGACTGTATAAAAAAGCCACTCAATATCTGCTAATCTCTTCAGGAAAGCATCTAATCGATGGAATACCGCAGCAGAATTGAATGTCCATGGTGGTGAATCTGGTTTCATACCTGGATGAGCTCTTGCAAACTCAAATTGGATTTTAAACTCTTCTAATACACCTAGATACATAAAAAAATTATTATTTTTCTTATGGTATTAATTGGCTAATGGATATTACTTCGAGAAATTTGTACACGCTGTAATGCTTCATCAACATCGCTTTGAAAGATGGAAGAAGGATCAAGAAATCGTCGCGCTTCCTGTATCAACAGGTTGGAGATTTGCCTAAACATAATAATCAACTTTGAGGAGTTCTGATAGTAGCGAGCTTTTGCCCAAGCTAAGCCGACAACGTGGATCACAGTCGCCATTAGGGGCTTAGCTTCAGAAAAATCAATTTCCTCGATGGCCTTGAAGCATCTCCTTAAGGGTGTCAAGTACAACGATATCTCTTTTGCTTCTGCGAGGGCGGATACGACATTACCAAAGAGAGTGCGAAAACAAGGATAATATGCACTGTCTGTTTTCTCGAGGATTATTGCCATCTTCCGTACCCGATCTTCTCGTAGTTGATCGAAAATATACCTTTAACGATTGATAATTAAATATACTAAAAAATAAACAATAACACAAACAAATTGACAATGAAAATACCTCAAGTTGGTGAGACGCTTAGACCAATATTCAAGTTCAACATAAGGCGTAGGATTTTGTCCATTTTCAAAAGCAACACTGGAATCCTGAGTAACCACATCATTTACCAGATAAGCCCACTTTATCACAACACCTTCAATGGCACTTTTTAGATAAAGGTCAACTGCTTGAGGTCCTTCTTCACTCACTTGTCTTTCAACTTCTGCTACTTTTTCCAGTCCAGCTGGCATAGGCAAAACTGTCTTTCCATTTACTTGACCTTTAACCTTTTTTTTACAAACAGAAAAAGACTATGTTTGATTAATGACCAACTAATGATCTCTACACTACTAATGGCTCTAAATAACATGATAAATGTGCAGAAAAAACACGTTCAAATTCGTCGTAAAAAGTTTAAAGATGTAGTTATCTATTTTTCCGCGGCGGCGCTGATTGTTGTTAATTAAAAAATAGATGTTTTTTTGTCGCCATCTTGAATATAATTATTTTATGGTTGAAAGCTTCTTGCTGTCATTACGAACTGCACTTGCCTGATATAAAGTTCCTCGTATGAGATGGACTTGACGGCTAATATCTTGAATAGCAATTTCCGGTAAATCTTTGTGATTTTCCGATTTACAAAGCAGTGGAGCGAAAACATTATCTACAAGAGTTGCAAGTTCGTCAACAATTCTGTTTGATAAATCTCCTATAATCAACATGGACGCACATCCTTCAGCATCTTTGGGGACCGGCGTCATTCGTATTTTAACAGCAAAAGTACCTGAAATAATGGAAATTAATACAAAATATTCAAATATAAAATCGAAATTAAAAATTAAAAAAAAAATAGTATCATACCTTTTGTTCTCTGACATGGAATTGGAAAATTACAAGACGCAACGAGTTGAGCATTAGGCGTCATAACAACAAAGAGAGCTGCTGGATACGGATTATCAAGAAAGTCAATTATAGCATTTCGATATTCTTCAGTTAATAATAATCTTCCCCATTTTTCTGGTTTGAGTTTTAATGACTTTTGTATACAAGAACCAAGATATTCCAACCGATGATCTTTGGGTGACTCTGGACCCGCCATTATTTCTAATTCTTCAAAAATACACTGATGGTAAGCTTAAACTATTTTTATTTATTTATTAAATATTAAAATTATATATTATGTTTTTTATTTTGATTTAATTCGGAAATTTGAATACAGAATTGAAGCCCGTTTTGCATGGCTAAAACTTAACAATTGAATCAGGACTGGTTGGTCTAACAGAATGAGATGTGTCTTTGGGCTAAGGTCGCATGTCGACCCTATTGTCACGTAACGCACGGAATATTCTGGATGAAGAAACAACTGACGTTGCACGCGATCATTTGTAATACAGTGGCAGGTATCAAGTCGGTCATTCCAGATCTGGTAAGTTTCTCAGCTGTTTCAGACATTGATGTTCCATCGATATAATTATTATTTTGCAAAAAAAGGTATACATCTTTGACTAATAAATGTTCCAAATACATCAAGACAAGAGTAACAAGAGCTTATTGAAAGTGGGTTAGCTATATATTTTAATAGTTTGAGACTGAAATTACCCGTAAGTTTAAATTACTATTGTTGTTGAAACAAATATAATGTCATTCTGTGCCATCCTCCAAAGCTCAGCAACAATGAAATAATAATTTATAGCACGGAATATTATGTTTGTTGTTCATGCGACCCCCTAGTAGCTTGGATCAATAAGCAAAGAAGATTATTGTGCGGTCTGACTGCGACAGTAGTTGTTCTACTGTCGAGTAGTCGTAGGTGTATTGTAGTTCACTGTAAAGAAATTGAGGAAAATATGCTTTCTGCTTGCCTGAGCCCGTGTGTGAATATAAATAAGTAAATTAGAACAATGGAAGATATGGAAATCCTAAGAAGAAATACTAGAGGTTTGGTAGAATGTAATCCTCTTAGTGATAAATAATATTTTCATAACATCTCTTACGCGTGGTCAATATTTGATGTGGAATCTGCAGATGGCTTTTATTTTAGGGTATTGCAGTTGATGGGGGAAAAGAGATCATGAGTCTGTTTAGTACCCCTGAACGCACGGGGTCCAAGGAAGAGAAGAGTAGTTTTCATTTTGTGGGAAATTGCTCTCTGACGAATTAGGAGTGCGAGAACATCTTGGTTTGTTGTAGTTAAAACGTATTGAATTACTTTGCCCTAGTCGTTAGAGTAAGACTATACTTGTGTTGTGTTTTTTTTTCTTACATTATTTTTTTTTATTATCTTATTCTTATTCCGTCTCACTTTGCCGCAGCTTTTCACGTAAATTATATGTGCACACCCGTTCTTATTCAGGTAATAACGTCAACTTATGAGGGTACCGGATACTCGCTTCGTCGAATGAAAACTTTTTTCCTGGCTTAACAACGGATTTCGTCGTTTTTATAGATAAGAGTTATCTGAACCGCGACAATGTCCAAGTTTATAACGAAGTAAGAAAGTAATTCAAAAGATTTTCTGCTGAGATGAATCGAATGCTCGAGGGGTATTTTTATGAAAAGTATATGAGTTTACAAATATGTTGAATGAAAAGAATTTCTCTTGAGGAAAAATAAATTAAAAAAGGAGAACATTTTCTTATAAATGAAATCTGAAATTTTTTATTTGATTAAAAATATCTCAGGAAAAATAATTTCAATAGATTTTCATAAAAGTTTTAAAATAAAATCTAATGGTAAATAAATTTGATTGAAGTCTTTTCAGACTAGGTCATTTATTTTTATAAAAAAAAATAAATATATTTTTCTTCAAATATGGAGCAAGTAGAAAAAACGTTAGACTTGATCAGACGAGACGTCTGGACGTAACTACTGAGTTTATTTACTTTTGAAGCCTGAAAATTGATGACCGTGCAGATTTTTCTTTCTTTTTTACCTACGTCAATTTGGTATTTCACTTTAGACTTTTAGGAATGAATAATGTGCTTCCAACGCTGAGAGTGATTTCTTATTTAGAGGTTTTTGAACTTCATGTCATTTTTCACGTCTCTTTCTACACACTTTCCCCCCCCCTTTTTTTTTGTAAACTCTGCAGCATCTATAAGCTCACTACTTATTTGAAAAGTTGCTCATGGTTCTGGGATTTCACTCTTTGCTGTCTCCCACCCTCGTTTGTCCCTCGTCACCCAGAGGTGTGGGAAAGCTGCACACGTTCCAACAAGGCTATTTCCAATTTTCTCCTCGGTTACGCTTGGACGTGCGGTCAAAATCCACGACCAGCTAGTCACGATTCTTCATATCTTATGTTAGAAAAGAACTAAATAAAATGTTAGAAAGAGAAAATGTCTCTTTCGTTTTGAACTTAACGGATGTTCTTGAGGGAACAACACGTCAAACTTTCTATCGGGGGACTTTAAGACGTTCTTTTCTTGTTGGAGAAACTAGAGTTGAAGGGGGTGGGAATAGGCGAGAAAGATGACTTGGTTCTTCGTGTTAGCAGCAGCATTATGGTAATCGCAAATCGCATATTGCGATTCCGGGAAACTTCACATGAAAAGGGGAATTTCGACTGGGAAATTCGAGATCTTAGAAGAGAAAGAGAAATATGCACGCGTCGTGAATATTGTACTCAAGTGCATGGGCACACAATATGGGATACGAGAAAGACAATTCGATTTCCGTAAGCGGAAATAATCTTAGAAGATGCTATAGTAGTAAATTTTATCGAAACATTATATTAAATTCACGTTTATTCATTTCATATTTCATTCTGAAGTATATGTGACATTTAATATTGCCTTTCGGATATATTGAAACGGAATATGATCAATGGAAAAAGACTAATGGACTGAGAATTGCTCTTTTATAATTAAATCAAGTGCAATATTATCGTTGTTGCTGAGTGTATATGAGGAAGTTTGTAATTTATTATTCCAATTACTGCATTGCAAAACCTTCTAGGAGGTACACTAAAGTTTCGTATACGAATCGCGTAGCGTGTAACCACCTTGCCAAATGCGTGCTTGTAAAGCTAAGTAGTCGCCGTTGTGTGGTTTCCACAGGTTTTATTACTTTAATTTTCCACCAGACTATTCTCAGTTTCGTTCTCTTCTCATGTTCGTTCATTTTTGTCTATTTAAATATTTAAACATGCGCTAAGTTAGTTTAGTGATTTAACTTAGTCTTAATTCGCCATTGAATTAATTTAAAACTTCTGGTAAAAACGAGTTCATTTTTTTATTTCAGTACTTTAGCAGTATCAAAAACTTACTCAGGTATTTCTATAAAAAGAGAATTATTTTAACTTTAGTAATTTTATTTATCTTGTTACATAACTTTTACTTATTTTGATTAAAAATTAGGAATGTTATTTAAAAAATACAGTTCATTTAAAACTTTTGATTTCTAGTCTAGAATGGCATCAGTTACTGTTGTGGTCCGCTGGGGATTGGATTTTGTGTGACTAGCCAAGAGTCTTTCTGTTCTCGTGAAAATCGTTAGCACTGGTTCGTTTGAGCTAATCTTTCGTGAGCAGCCACGCGGGAATCACAAGCTCTGACGTGTCCGGTAACAGGAGGGATAGAATACATTTTCCTCAGGCTCTTTACTAATCAACCTTCTGACCGATAATAATTGCCCTTCACGTATAAGCTATAAGCTACATTAAAGCTGACGTGTGTCAATTTTTGATAAGCTCCTGATATTTATTGGCTATTTGAACAGAAAAATGAGATGAATAACATGATAAAAATAAATGATACATGAAGAGAATATTATATGAAAATTGAGTTTATTTTTTATTTGAATTTTACAAGGCATTTATTTGAAAACCAAACTGCCTTAGACTTAAATTTATTTTCAAAGAGCCTTAAGCAATTGAAAACATTGAAAGCAATTCAATTGATATTTATTGATAAAAATTTGTCTTATTTTTTTCTCATTTATTTAACTTCTTATGAAAAATACGTTGAATATAAGATAAATTTTATCATGACAGCATTATAATTATTATCTTGACCATATTGTGAAAAAAATCTATTCAAACTTCGTGTGAAAGTCTTATCAGGTGAACACAAAGAGTAATACTTGCTGTCTCATAAATTACGATAATACATAAGAAAATTTTTTCTAATTTCGCATTATTCGCAATCTTTATCATAATTTTTCTAATAAATTAAAAAAAAAAACTTTGTGATTAAGATATTTCAATGCTTCATTTCACTATAATATTCTCTTTATATGCTCAAACTTACGAAAATATATAAAAACGAATGTATAGATTAGATACTAAAAAATTCAATCTCATCTCATTTCGAAGAATATTCTCTTGTTAGTGTAGTGTAAGCATCGAAAATCTCTTTCACGGCCTATTTTCGTGTCTGGGAAATTTTTAAAGTAAGCTTTTTCTGCTCTGCCTATTCTCACCCTTGGATGAAATTCTCAACAGGTTACATAGACTTTTTTTTTTATTATTTTAACATTCTTGTTGAACAAATTTTCTAGATAAAAATAATAAAATTAAAAAATTCTCTACATTATGAGGCTTACGTTAATATCAAGAGCTTTTTCGAGCTCCTCTTCATGATTTATGAGCTAGAGTAGTGAACTTTTATGCTCTGTGGTTTTGGGCTTGTGCGCCTGAGGTAAAAGCTTATCGCAACGCAAAAAATTTGATAATTGGTGGTTTGTTAGTGTAGACTAGATAACAGAATGAATATCATACCAATTTATGTTCATAAAAATTTTGCCAATATATTTTATTTAATCGCAAAATATATTATTTTTTTTACCTTCAACTAGCTTATCAGGATCAACTTTTTTATCATCTTCATTTTTCTGTTGATCTTTGTCACTATTTTCTTCATCAGATTCGCTGTTAGACCCCATCATGGACTCTAGTAATTTCCTGAATTCTACTTGATTTTCTTCCTGTTGAAGTGGTGGAGTAGAAACTTCTCTTAGTGTACTAGCTAACATTGTATCCTCTTCATCAATTGATTTTTCATGTTTGAAACTAAATTCGCTCTCGGTGGGACTGCTAGTATTACTGCTATCAGAATCCATCATTTTCATATTCTATTTTATTTCCTTTCTTTTTATTACGCTCCACTCGAGATGGAAATTGTCTGTAAAAAAAAAAAGAAATGATGAAAAAAAATGTAAGTCTTCTTTTCTTCTTTAATACAGGCCAATTGGGTTTAACTTTTACAGGGAACAAGCAATTTCGTGGAGAAGGAATATGAGGGATGGAAACAAAAGAGAGATAGTCCGCCTACGGAAAATGTTTTGTGTGTCTCCTGCTTGCGCTCATAATTCTTTCTTTATCGTCACATTTTCTTTCTAAAAGTCGTTCATAGTAGAAAAAAATAAATAAAATAAAAGCTACTTTTTTTCTTTAATATCTTCTCTTTTAGCTTTCATTTTATCGAACACCTGCGGCTTTTGTAACGTACAGAGAGTAAATAACTGTTCTCATTTTCAGAAAAATGCACATCAAAAAAATAAATCCACTAACTTTTATAATAATGTAAAAATAATGTTTAAAAAGTATTTTTTTTTTCAATGCTTTTTATTGATAATTTTCTACAATGAATTTTGTTTAATATTCCAAACGGTTTTCTGTACTTCAATCTGACAATAATAGCTTTGATAAAAAAAATATGTATTCATGAGAATGAAAACTTGAATGGATTTTCAATCATACAAAAATAGAAAACATGAGAATAATATTGGTTATAGTAAAATGGAAATTGAACATCAGATGAAATTTTAGAGTATTAAGCATAAAGCTCTTATGTAGATATAAAAAATTGAAATCTTTTGAATAAATTTTATATTACTGAAAAAGAATTCATTTATCAGTTGAGATATTTTAAAGAAGAAAAATTAATATTAATTGTTGCTTAGATTTCAGCTTTCATGAGATCCTTGAACAAAGTTTGATGAAAAAAATTTCAATTCAAACCATATTCACTGCAATAAAACTTTGGCAATAAGTCTTTTAGCAAGCGATGTTTAAGTGTCTTTTGGGTGAGGAAAATTGAGCAATCCGCATTCATATCAGCTTGGTTTACGAGTGCGACAGGCTGTGTTCAGTACCTCAATATTCAGATATTATCTCGCCTTGTGCTTCTGTTCTATTGAATTCGACTCTTCCTGTCACTTGAATACTCTCTCTTTTGCCTATTGCAGGGTTTGCTGACGAGGACAACTTGAAGATCTATCTCAGATTTTTTTCCATGGCATCTTCATCCCTTCCCACCAGATTGTCGTAATATTATCTCCTCCATCAAGCAAAAGCTTACGAAGCTCTGGATTTTTTAAATATTTCTTTAATATCCTTTTTAGCGATTTTTTGTTTAAGAAATAGAGCGGAATGAGAGTGAAATAGACGACACACGAGGGAAATTAAATATCAAATATCACGAATTGCAAAGGGAAAAAGAAGAAAGAAAATGTTAGACTGGTGTACAGACTTTCCCTTTATTTGTTGAGGGAATAGCAGGCGTGTCAATGGCGTTTTGATTGATATCCGATGAAGGGAGAAGTCAATAACGCAAAGATCTTGGTAAATTGTCGATAGAGAAAGAGTAAGAGATGACAAAGACTAGATGGTGGCAACTATGTCTGATCCAATACGGCCTTTTTTCCTGGTCTTTATCCTTTAGCTTATACTTCTCATACTTTTTTACTCGTTTCCGTATCAGCATAATTCCTTTCTTCCTCTTTACTTTCTTCACTTTCTCTTTTGCTCATCGTCAGTTAAGCTCCGAATTTTCTCGAACAAAGACCTATAATTCCAACTTAATACCCACGTTATTATCTACCATGATTTTTCCTCAATTTTTCTACATATTTTCTTCTCCATCTTTTAAAGAATTAAAAATTATGCTCGTGATTTGCACAGAAAAATATTACTTTTTTTCTCCTAAAGCTTTGGATATATTTTGTAATAACGGAAATTATTTTTTTCTCTTTCAGGAGGAGAATATCTTACTGTTGTTTTGTCTCATTAAGTTGGATATTTGGATACAAAAAATATGTAAGTATGTTCATAATGATAGAATTTTATTCTACATACTGATTACTATTCCAAACTCATTCCACGGTTGAATTCTTGTAAGCTTCAAGTATGTTTAAATTATTAATCCATACATTGTGAAAATCATGACTATGATACTCTCTAAAAACACACGCGCCAATTATTATATTGCTAGGGATGTAGCAAAAGCACAAAGGAGCAACATAACAAGTTTCCAGTGGCGCGTTAAACCCATTATGGATTAGAGGGTGCGGCCTATGGGAACAAACACTACCTAGCAACCGGTTGTTGCACTGGATCCATTCGTATATCAACTATTGAAAGTGTTGAAACAAAGACATAATAAATAAAAGTAAAATATGATGTTATAACTGAAAATGAATTTTGCCATTGTGAAAAACTTTTCCCCATTGGTGAAATGATAAATAAAAAGTTTTACGGTGCCAAAGTACTTGAGGTTTTTCTCAAGGATTTTATTTTTCATGGGTGGGAGTATCTTGTGCAGAAATTTTGCGAGTTATTTATGAGATCGAGACGATGAGAGTAGAGTCTCAATGATCGGGCTTACCGAAACTTTTTTATTCGTTTTTTTTATTTTTCTGTTGTACAGGTATAAAGACTGGGCTTGATTCCTCAACTTTTCAACGCCAACTCACGAGGTGTTAAAGATAGCAAGAGTAACTTACAAACTGACGAGGCGCCACTTTCCCACCTGATTTGCAAGTCAATCTTACGCAGACGATCGATTAAAATTTTTCAAGAGTCGTCAACATCTAGTCGTTGAGTGTAATAATTTAAGGGTTTTAGAGAGAAAGTGGAGATTGTAGTAGTGACTTTTAATCTACCATTTCCAACTAGAGGCTTGCCTAGATAATTAAGAGAGCACTTGGCTTTGAAGAACTGGAATAAAAGCTTTCTTTTAATTTAGAGACCTCGAAAAATCATTAGTTACTTTCCATATCAAATTTTAAAAGAGTAATGGAATTATAAAATTGATGGTGTGGGATTTTTTTGTGAAATTATAAGAGAAAGCTTTGATCAGAATATCAAGCGCTTTGTTTGTATTCATTCTAATTTTATCACAAGAAAATTTTTAATTAACTACGTTGGATTATACAAGATAATAAGCGAAGGAGGACTCGAATGGATATGTTATTTATTTTTAATAAAAAGTAATTAATATCTCGCTAAAAACATTGGCCTGTGAATGACGAAAGCTCAGCTCCTCTGAGAGGTAAATACTTTTGCTTTACAATTCAATAATAAATTTAAACAAGTAATCGTGTTGAGAAAATTCGTGAATAATTAACAATATTAAAATATTGGATTGAAATCTTTCGAAATCAGTTTCCTTTTCATTTTATAAAGAGTCTTGATGATGTAAGAAGTGTATCTAGATGCTATTCAAAGGGATCTATAAAGAAGAAAGAGTAAGTAATTCATTAAGAACTGTTTGCTCATCTCAAGGACGTTTGATTAAACTTTCCGTCAAGAGAAAGTGGCGGATTCACAAAACTTACAGTCAAAGAGATATTCACACAAGCTAAACTGCTTGTTTAAACAGATTCTGGAAATTAAAAGCATCACAAAGTTATACTCGAGACATCTACTCATTTAAAATCACCCGTGAATATCTGCCAGGAAATTTTAGGGAAATTTCTTGAAACGAGAGCTTTAATAATAACTACGATACGCATTTCTTGTAATAATGGTACTGTTGTGGAAATTGTGCGAGGGCTATATTACAGCAATGGGAAAGGACGTAGGTCTGTATGAATATGTATTAGAAACATCTGTCGTCTTGTAACCACAGTGTCAGAAGACAAAGGGTTGACGTCGAAACGATTTAATATAAGGTGGTGAGAATAACTTCGGCTTCAACTACGATTTGTCTTCTGAAAACAGTACAACGTGATCACCACTCCACGTCTCATGAAATATTATTATTAAAATAATTTTTTACAAAATTCATTTAGACAATTTAATATAATATTTCATTGGGATTTTTTTTTATTCACCTTGAAATAGGATTTAGTGCTTTATCAAATAAAAATAGGTGTTTTATTTTACTCATTTTGGAGTTAAAAGTAAAATTAAATAAGATGTTTAATATTATTCCATTACGATGCTTGTAGAATGTCATTGGATACTAAGTAAAATAATTTTTTGTTTCAGGCTAATTTGAATTAATAAGAATGCAGATGAATGGAATTTCCGATCAGACGTTGGTGATGGTAATGGTGATTCTTCGTCATCATTTTTTCCTTGCAATTCATTAAACGAGAAATTGTGCAGCAATGGTAAGTAGAGTTTTTCTCTAGTCAGTGAGCGTGAAATGAAAGAAGACTTCTTCTCATTCTCCTCCACAGAGTGGCACCCTTTCAACGGTAAATTAAAGATTTTAAGTCTAAAGTAATTAGTCGACGGACGGGCGTCATCCTTGTCGACGCTTTGAGAGAGATAAAATGTACCTCGGTATACCTAAGAGTCAGTAATCTCATCAGAAAATTCTTAACTTTTCCACCCTGACAAATATTCGGATAAGATATTCAACTATTATGGCGAGTTCTTCTTTCTTCCATAATTATCAAAAGGAAATGACGTTGCGTCACGGTGAAGAGTAAATATATCAAAGAGTTGTGAAAAGGGCACAAGATCTAATTTATGCAAAAGTGTAGATAACAAAAGAGGCACATTAACATTTATATTTACGAAGAACGTCGATCATAAGTCAACAGATACTTCGGAGAAGCGTTGTTGTTTTTTTTTTTTTCTCCCACTAGAATTGCTAATGAGCAAGGCTCAAATGCAAGTACGAGGAAAAGGAGTTCTTTGTCCTGTTACTGAAGGAATAGTTGCTGAGTTCTGAAAGGTGCAAAATAAAGATAGCAAAGAATATTCACAGTCAAGCAGAACGTTTATATATACTTTTTATATACAGACATAATATTGCCTAAGGGTAGACATTTATTTCAGAGGAGCCTCTCCAGGCTCACTATCGATCCTATTCAATTTCAAAGCTATAGGGTGAATGCTAAAAGGGAGCAAGCCGCATTCACGCTGATTTAATTAAGTCCTGCCAAGCTTTATTACATTAGGCGTCGTGTGATCGCGCGCTTTGGACAATAACGGATTTATGCCAGTATATTCAGCTATCTCTAAAAGCTTTTGTAAAAGTTTTCAAGCTAAAAGTTCGCTCTTTTAAATAATTCCAACAGGTATTTTTAATTATTCTAAAGTATTCTGAGCTGCGTTTATACATTCCATTTGAATTATTTATTTATTTTTTTATTCTACAACAATTTTCATCAAGTTTGTTGCATTTAAATGTCCCTCTATCATTTATTATCATTTTTATCGTAGCCACTCAACGTACATTGTTGAAAGCTTCACCTTGATCAACTTTTTTATCATCATTCCGTATCTATTTAGTCAATTTTCTACTTTACCGACTATTGTTTACCAGTAGAAATATTTTATTTAATGATAAAAATAATTGCGGTAATATCGACAATTGATAAGAAACTGAAAACTTCTTTATCGATATTCAGTACTTGACAAAATGTGATCAGAGCAAGTTGTTTCGTCTTGAATGGAGCTCAAATTTTAGTTGTGAAAAATGATTGTTTGTAATCACTGAGATAATTGATACTTGAGTATTAATACTTGGTTACCTTTAACGCCCATTTTGATATAAAAAGAAACATGAATATTTTTTGACTTAGACTATTTCTTATCTTATTCTGATGGTATAATTATCATACAAGTGAATAAAAAGTAAACATTTTAGAGCTAACAAGTGTGCAATGTGATATAAAAAAGATGCTAAATAAAACATTTTTACGAAATATAAAAATTCAGCACAACGTCTGCTTTGTTTTGAAGAATGTTTTATTTACGTAACTGAAATCATGTTTATCGTTATCAATGTTAACCAACAGACTTTAGTCGCAAGTTGTAGAAGCCTACTGTGTAAGAAGCTGTAAAGAATAGTATCGCAGGTGACGGTATAAGAGACAACATAGAAAGAATTGAAGAAACAAAGAGAAATGGAGGGAGTGAGATAGGAAGAAAGTAGGAGGGATAAACGGTGTTCGCGAGATCGCTGGCCGTGTAGGACGCGAGGATTCGCCGTTGAACTGAGTTTAGTCGGTGCATGCGAGCGAAGTCAGCCGGTCGTGTCTCCCTCTCGACCTCAACCTCACTGTCTGTAGCTTCTGTCAGTTACTACTTATCATTGTTTTTCCTCAGACAATTTTTTGACATCCTCCCAACCTTCATATAAACTTACCTGTGAATTTTTTACATGCTCATTGCCTGTCAATTATTGCAATTATTTGCTATCAATAAAACATAGATATTCAACTAACATCTATTAGCATGAACGAGTGAGTTAAGGTGTCGAAGAATAATCAGTCCTCAAATTTTAATGGATTTTTTTTTCATAGGAGGTAGGTTAGTTTATGAACATGACTGATTTATTCATGAGTTGTGTTTTTGATTTTTTTTTTTTTTATTTTTTAGGAAGGAGAAAAACTGAATTCTTAATTTGGTCTGATATGCGAGGGAGACAAACCGCGTGGAGTGTTTTATCAGAGTGTGTAGTGCGCGAAATTTTGAAAGATAACTGGGAACACTCTTTCACGTGTTCATCAATTTTATATTGAAATTTCTTTATCGCAGTATTCTTAATGATACTTTTCAGCATTTAAAGTTATAAACTAGAGGCATTAAATATTTTATACAATAGACAATAGTCATTTTTACAACAAGCTTTGGAAATGGAATGAGTGATATTAGTAAATGCACAATAGAATTTATCTCAAAATCATGACTAATGTTTCGACTAGTGAATGACTTGGAATATCTCAATGTACGTCAAACCACTCCGCACTGCCAAGTTGAAAGAAAATTTTTTTTCGAGTCAAAAAAGTAGTTAGAGAAACAACAATGACAAGGTGGTAATAGAAGAGTCAATCTAAAACAAGTTTGACTCTTGAAAAAAAGACTTGTTAATTTTTTTTATTTTGGATAAAAAGACTTGTTAATTGATAGACAGAAATGTCACGAATATCAAATCGTATATCGTCCATCGTGGCCGGTCTCACGATCATTTTTCTCATAGTGTTTCTTGTGATTATTTGGACAAGTATAAGAACCACAGATACTACCTATGGAAATGAATCTCAAGTGACTAATTTATCAGAACCACATCGAATATTTCTTGAAGATAAACAACAAAATGTTGGCTCTCAATTAATCACTTCCGGTCCTAATACCAATTTTTTCGTTCATGAAAACGATGGTGAGTGTTGTTTTTTTTTTTATAAATAAAATTCAATCTTTTTTTTTTTATTTTATTTATTAATAATTTCGTAACTGACTGAATTCTACATCAGTATACGTTGTAACATGAAAAAGCTCAGGTTAAAAAAAAAATGAAAAACGCGTATTTAGCACTAGTTTCGTATTTCTGCTGTATTAAGTAGATCAGGATCACGTGTTGTAAAACATCAAACTCGGCGTTATAATTATTTTGTGCTACAAAATGAATTCTTTCTATTTTTCAGGTTATTCATATTGACCTACAAAATATTTAGATATTTAAATAATTGAAAAGAAGAAAAAATGATTAGAAATTTTTTTTTATCAGTTAGTTATTGACTCAACATAGAATTTCAAACAATTCGAAGCTATATATTATACAGATCTAAGTAAGATTGTCTATTATACCATCATATCAGGCAGAAGTACATTTAACAAGCATCTTTGTTTACTTTATGAATAAGTCAGAGTACTCTCCACTGGCAATTTGTTATTCGTTGATAAGAAAGGCCTTGACATCTGGTTTAAAAACTTTTCATGTCAAAAGTCAAACTAAAAAATATTGAGTATTTCGTATTTGAAGAATTCTTATTGTAGCACAAGACTTTTAGTAATTGTCTTTAGGGGGGTTCATGAATTATATTGGAGTCTGTCAATTGAACAGCCTATTAATAGCGCCTGAAAGCAAATGCATATATAAATGCTTACAACTCCATTCTACATCTTAAGCATTACTACTACGCTTACGTATCTTAATACCCTACTTCAAAAGGTGAAAGTAGTTGATTACCGATCTATGCCATAATCCATTGATCATTTCTACCACGCGTGACATTAATTTTTCGCTTAAGTCTCTTTAAGACTTTGATTATTATTTTTTACAAATTACACGGTTATCAAATAAATTACACATCATTTTTTCCCTTCCCTGTGGCGAATTGCTGACCTATGACAATGTTGTCTAGACCTGTATTGGCGCGAGGAATTACTCTAATAAATCTTTGAATTGAAACTAATGAAAATGATTTAGCTTTTAATTTTGATGCATGAGAGAAATTTCAAAATTTCTTTTATCTGTTCAATAGTTTTGTTGGGTTTGATGTAGACTTTGAATTTTAAAATATTGACATGAAGTTGGGTAAATAGACTAATAGATTATCAGCTAAGACAAATAGATAATAGTAAATCTGAAGATCCCAAAATTTATCCTAAAATTTTTTGATTAATTTTTTTTTTTTAAACTATTAAATGCAGAAAAATATGTGGACATTTATGATGAGTTGGTCTGATGATCAGTATTATATTAACATATCAAAAAATTTTCTAATATTAGAAAGTGCATACAAAATAAATTATTTTAATTCAGCTGCTGATTGAAGAGTTTATTTAAAATAAATGAAGTTTATTAATATTTAATGAATCCTTTATTCATGCACCAATGAAACTGATACTTTCAACAGTTAATAAAAGATTCATTTAGAAAGATTTATTGATGCCAAGTGAATTTTTTTAAGTAATTAATGAATTTTTATTAATAAAAATCTGAAATAAATAAATTTATGATCATTCAATAAACTCTCCAATCAATGCAGCTTCTCATTAAATTCTCTATCAAGCAACAACCATTGAATCATCAAATTAAATTCTTCACCAAGATCCTCTGCTCACCTTGGAAAATTTAACTTTTAAACTTCCACAAATTAGCCTGTTATGTTCCCCAAACTGATGATTAATTCTATATCTTACCACCTCGAGCATGTTTTTTGCCAACTGTTCTTCAGCACAATTACATCTCTAATAACATAAACTTTCTGGAAGCTCTTGGGGGGTAGATTTGTCCACATAAATTCAGACGAAATGATGATGCTGTTGGATGTGCGTTGCCCTGAAGAACAGTGCTGATACAAAAACGTTTCAACAGACGAGTATGTTATGACTGTTTGGTTGATCTTGATGCGATCTTAACGGATCGTAAAGTATATCATTCTCGTGTCTTGACTTTCGAGCGTCAATTACCCGAGTCACGATGCAAGTGTGTGAGGCAAGAGGGGAGAATTCACTAATGATTCGCGGTGCCAAGAAATAAATATTTATGTCGAAGGGATGCCGGTTTCTATCTCTCTCCGTTCGTTTTATGCGCCAGACAATGTCGAGCCAGGTTCAACGACACTTGGCGCAGCAACTCTTGGTATCATGGGAATCACGTTGACAAACTACATATTCCTAGACTGTGTTCATTTAATTTGTAAAATGTCCATTGTAAATTAGCAACAGCTTTCATGAGAAATCTATTTAGCCAAGCTAACCATGAAGTCGTGAGTCTCCTGCCTGGCATCGAACTCGTATCAAATGAGATTTTATTTCCATCAAGTATTTAAGACAATTCCTATTGTGAATTGAAGTTAGGTATTAAACTCCATGAAATTCCAAGGATTTCATTTATAAATAAGATAATTTATGAAGCTGAAACGTGGCCAATTTCATTCATTTCTCGTGGAAACATTCAAGATTTGCAGGCGTTCAAGTAGAAACAGATTAAATAGAAACAGTCTGAAATAGTAGTGACGTTAGGGAATATGCTTTACAGTTGGTAAGCTCATGGTACTTCATACAAGTATCTTTTGACACACCTTGGAGACAGTCGCTAACCTATAGCGTCAATGGCACGTCTTCCCGTCCTTGCTCGGCGTGTGACCAACTACAAGCGTCCACACTGTCTTCTGTATACCTATCACCAACCGCGCATCCCATATCCTGTTCCGAGATATCGTGTTATCAAGGTAGTAAGCATTTTTTCATACCCAGAACTCTTGAATCATTTATTCCACTTTTTGCTAGCCCTTTTGATTCATAGAAAAGTCAATTATTTCTATTTACTACGAGTTAGAACGTCTTGTTTATGAGTGTAATAAAAGCCTGGAATATAAAGAAAAAGATCTCGATGAAAATTGATCTTGATCCACGAGGTTGATCTATAATAAAGATGAAGTATCTGTGAGGTCATCGACATTGCTATAAGTCTGCAAGAAAAGAAAACGACACCCATAGGAGGATAGTCACGAACAAAATTGATCCTGGAATACCGATCTTATTTTACCAATTGCACTGAGCTTGCTAACATCAGATACTCCACTCGATTAACATGTTTATATATGCTTGACAATTGTGCGAACATGTTATACTCATATATAAGTAATGATCACGCGAATTCGGAAAACGCTTACGGCGTACAATCTCCTTGACGTCAGCCTCGTGCTACGCGTAAGATAGCCTACGATTGTCACGAACCCACAAGTGATAAAACATTCTACTTAATATTCCTCAACGTTTTTTATTACGTACTGCTATAGCACCTCAACACGTATCATTATTTTCTTTTATTGTCGGCATGATTGTTTGAAACACCTGAACGTCTAGAAAACTATTTGATAATCTATTTAATGTTTTAAAAATAAAATGTCTAAATAAGAAATTAATCAATAGCTTTAAAAGTATTCAATGAAACTCTGAATTATTTAAATTCAAACATTGATATTAAGCATGTGCAAAAATATACATGAATACGTAGGTCGTATCCTCTTTCTGGTGAACAATGACACCTACGAGCTTTGTTTCTTTTGCTTTCGATTTCTTTCGTATTCCTGTTACACGTGACCGTGTCCAGTTTAAGTTGAGAAATAAAGAAATATCCTTTATTCAATTATTTCTGACATGGGAATTATTTTTTTCTTCAAGCTAGGATTCTTAAAATGCTTTTTATTGAATAGAAAGGTTATTGATTATCTGCATTTTAAGTTTTAAAAATAATTATTATATTCTTTTACAAGAATCTGTTTCTCTGTCAAAATACCATTATTACACTAGTTCCGCAATTTGGCCCACGCTGCCACAATTATTACTGCCTGTTGTGCCAATTTTGAACTTGATCGTTGGTTTTTCCCACGAGCATAATGGCGAACGTGCCGATGAGCACAAACCTAATGTTTGGAAATTGCGTTCGAACAATTTCAAAGTGATTCGTGGCATATGCACGTCTTCGAAGCATAAACAAATAGCCAGACAATTTTAGGCTTCAACTTCAGCTGACTCATCGACACGAGCTCAAACCATTGAATTTATTTATTGGGAATAAAAAATGAGCTTGAGAAAAAGTTACCAGTTTAACTTACAACTCCCCAACATCCAGAAGCTCAAACTCATAAATTTGACGGTCAATAATCTCTGAACTCATGCGACCAGGTCAACATGCAATTGCTAGAAAAGTATTAATGAAAAAAATAAACAATGCTAAGAAAATAAACTGAAACTTACTCAAATAATTCATAGTCTCAAACTGTCTGTGAGCTAAGAACTTAATAAACCTTTCAGGTTAATGCAAATACATATGTTTATCAGTCCATCTTGATAGACAGAGCTTAAATAAGAATAAACACGTGTGATTTCTAAACACCAAGTATCCTGTCACTTGGTCGTCTTTTTTGATAGACAGTAGAAGGATAAACAGATCTATAAAAAGTAGTATCTAATCACTATCGCGTGTCAATTGTTTTTCTTCAAGTAAAGAATGTACAAATGTTTTCTTGTTAAATAGCAAATCACTTACCAATAAGGCTTCCTGATGATGGCAAAAAGGTGTAATTAAGTTGTAGTGATATTTTTCCTTATACGCTTATTAAACTCAGCATTGCATGAAAAAATGTTAAACGATGCGCAAGACCTTATTTACTGGCAATTTTCCTGCGTCATCAGCAAGTTTGTCGTTTGTTCTCATTTCTTAGATGGGGAGTAAAGAGTCTAGAATACGAATGTGTTGCTTGTTAAGTTGACAAGGATAGAAACAGGGTTGCGTTATCGAAGACGTTATTCATGCATGGGATAATACTAAATGAATGAGTAGAGAAGTGACTGTGTATAGTACAGACAAGACAATGGTTACGGAAATATATGTACAAAGAGTACTTATTATTCTGTGTTTATATA